TTGATGGGCTGTTTTTGTTTAATTAAAAAAAAATCTCTAAAGCAGTTAGCAGTGAGTTATAGCTAGCTTTGTGTTCCTACCTGCACAACAAAACTGCTCACTTTGAGTAAATTAGAACGGTTTCAAACATAGAATCATAGAAAGTTTTGGGTTGGAAGGGACCTTAAAGGTCATCAAGTTCCAACCCCCCTGCCATGGGCAGGGGCACCTTTCATTAGATGAGGTTGTTCAGGGTCCCATCCAGCCTGGGCTTGAACACTTTCAGAGATGGGATATCCACAACTGCTCTGGGTAACCTGTTCCAGTGCTTCACCACCCTCTGAGTAAAGAATTTCTTCCTAATGTCTAATCTAAACCTATACTCTTTTAGTTTAAAACCATTGTCTTTTGCCCCATCACTATCTGACCCTATAAAAAGTCCTCTCTCCCTTTTATAAGCCCCCTTGAGGTACTGGAAGGTGTGATGAGCTCTCCCCAGAGCCTCTCATCTCCAGGCTGAACAACTCTCTTAGCCTGACTTTATAGGAGAGGTGCTCCTGCCCGCTGATCATCTTTGTTACCCTCTGGACCTGCTCATACAGGTCAATGTCCTTCTTGTGTTGGCAGCCCCAGAGCTGGATGCAGTGCTCCAGGTGGGGTCTTGCAAGAGCTGAAGGGCAGAATCGCCTCCCTGGACCAGCTGGCCACACTTTTGGTGCAGCCCAGAATACGACTGGCTTTCTGGGCTGTGAACACACATTGGTGACTCATGTCCAGCTTTTCATCCACAAGAAACCCCAAGTCTTCTCCACAGGGCTGCTCTCAGTGAGTTCTCCCAGTCTGTAGTTATGTCTAGGATGGCCCTGACCCAGGTGCAACCTGAACTTGGACAACTTGCATGACCTTGTCTAGAGGAGCTAGAGGAGAGGCTGTTGTACAAGCACATAGGGATGCTCCTTGCAAGATCATTTCCAAGCAGGACAAACTGTCACTTTGGCTGCTCTGGTCAGCATCCTCCAGCCTCACAGAATCTTTGAGCTCACTCTGCTGAAGAAACGGAAGGGACATTTAGAGATTTTGTGCCACAGTGCATGAACTACTCCCTTTGCTTTGACTGTAGCAAAAAAGCTGGCAAGGAACTGGGGACATTATGAGCACATGCATTAAATGTCACCATCATCCTGCTCTTCAACAGAGGACCTGTGTTAAGTAACCTCAGGACCCACTCCCGACACACCTGCCCTGGCAGAACGAGTAGCAGAAGCATTGAAAATGATTGAAACTTCCTCCACCAACCAGTTTTGTCGCACACCCCGTTTCATTGAGCCTTTCCAATCACACAGTAGGCTCCCAGAGTCCTAGAGCCAGCACCAGGAAGGAGCTGCTGCCTTGCATTTCTCTGCCCGTTCCTGGGGACATGTCCAACCCACAAGCCTGTTCGAAGAGAGCTTGAGAGAAGTTCCAAGCTGAGGAAGACCTGCCTAAATCCAGCTTGTAGGAGACCCAGGAAATCAGTCCTCATTGGACTCCCACAGAGCATTACAGGAATAGGTTGAGGAGAAGGGGGGTGCCCCACTCCCTCCACAGCAAGCAGCTGCGTGCTGGGACCTACATGTGAGCACCCTGTGGTACCAGTGTGGAAGATGTTCCTGGTATCACTCTATCTAATGGTCTCCATAGCAACAGCCAAGCTTTTTTTTTCCCCAGCTCAGGGTTGAACTTGCCAAGAGCAGCAGGTAGATATGACGGAAATCCAACGCTGCTATTAATTTACATGAGCTGGGTGAAGTGTAAGCAAGGGGAGTGTAGGGATAAGGAGCTGGCAATGTTCACGTTGGCTGGGCTCACCTTACACAGATCCCTGACTGCACCCTGGAACCAGACCTGACAGCAGGGGTTTGGGTGACCCAACATTCCAGCCCTTAGGAAGCAGCCGGAAAAGGGGGAAATTACACTGAGGTCTGGCCAGGGTGGCTGTGAGGAGGGAGAAGGAATTTGATTTTCATCCACCTATACAAAGCTTTCAGGTATTCACAATCCTGGATTTTAATGTATATTTTACCACTTTCTGAAACAGAAATTCTATTTTTCTAGGGAAAAAAAATGAACTGAATTAAGTAGCAGAACTCCCCACCTCAGACAGTGAGTTTTCCTACCTGACCTCCCACTGCAGCCACCTCATAAACCAGAGCAGCACCTTGTGCTCCAGCAACTGTTGGTGACTGGCATGAGCCACATGTTTGCAGACTGACTACAACCACAGATCTGCTGGGGCTTAAACACCATTAAACACTCTGGGATTTTTGTAGGGTGCAGACCACGGTGACCCTCAGCACCAACCTGCCCACAGTGTTCGCAGGCTGCCCTGCTCTTGTTGTGGTCACCATGGCTGAAGAGAGGCAAATGCTCCAGGAACTGCAGAGAGCCATGATATGTTTGCTTTTTTGTTTATTTAATACCAGATTAAATGAGCTTCCCTTGGCTCCTTCTGCAACAAAGTGATTTAATTAATGCTGAAACTCTGCGCACACAGGACGCAACAAAGCTGTTTGTGGTTGGCATGTGCTACATCTATAGAATTATTTCAGAAAAAGGAAAATGTCAGCATGATAAAAAATGGAAAGTGCTAGCGTGCCACGTGCTGCCAGGAAATGGGGCTGCTACCCTATTCTAAGTCTGGATCAGACTTGAAATGAGAGTTAACTTGCTCACTCCACCCTTTTGACATTCAAAACTAATTTAATGGGATACCACCCCGCAGCTGAGGGTCAGCAAGTGCTGCCATAGGATGCTGCTGGGTTGGGAAGGTGTGCAGGCTTTCATTCACTAACTTGCCAGTTCACATCAACTATGGAAAGCAAAGCAGCAACAGAACTTCAGTCACGCCATCACAAAAACTGGAAAAAAACCCAAATGGCTGTAGATTTACACTGCCCTCTGCAATCAGGGCAGCGAGGTGGCCAAGCCCAGAGACCCAAGGTATCTGCACCACAGGGACTGTGTGCCTGCCTGGCCCAGGCCAGCTGCAGCCTGACTGCTTTCCAATCCAGACCCTGCTGCCATCACAAATGCAAAGACCACTTGTAAAATTAGAGGAAAGACCCATGACGAACTTCCACAAGGACAAGCAAAACTGCTGGCCAGATGTTGAGTGTGGAAATGGCATGGAGAAGAGAGGGACAGGGAAGGACACCACCAACTTTCAAGTGGCAATCAAGTTGCTTCCTGCCTTACAGACCAGGCACTGCTCTTTGATTTCAGGTATTCACAGGCATGATTGAATTCACGCTTTCCTTCCCTACAGGACAGCACTTTCCATCATACAACACAGCTACAACACTTCAGTTCAGACAGATCTTTGCCTACAGGTAAATACCACTCTGCTATTCCAACAACATCCTCATCTGGGCAAAATCCAGACCAGCACAGAGGTGACTGAGAAACCTCCTGTATCTGACCACAGGCACGACTGCCACCCCACAGGGAAGACCATGACCACTTCCAGCCATTAAGGCTCATATCAAGTGGCTGGTGCAGTGGAGGAGGTGCTGTCCCCAGGCTGGGTCCTCCAGCAGCTGCCAGTGGAGAGCTGCCACCCCTTCCTGGACCAGCTCCAGCCAGCTCCCAGTAGCAGGTGTGAACTTGCACATTCCAGCTAACAAGCTGCCACTCATAGCTAGACCAGAGCAGCTTGAAGAAATCAGCAGTGCTACAAATGCTACAAACAGCAGTGAGAGTGAGCCCAAAGCTTTCATTACATCAAAATCGCTGCTTTCATGTTTCTGTTTTTAAATCTGGCTGCTAAGGTACATGATTACACTTCATCTTGCCCAATTCCCCCTCTTCAGGACATGCACCAGAGAAGCCAAAAAAGCATTGTAGGCAGACATCAGCAAGGGCAGCACAAGAATAGATAAAATCCTCAGGAACATTTTGTGGTTGTACTGAAGATGCGTTTGCATGGAAGGTCTTATTACCTTTCACTGTTGGTACCCGAAGCAAACACAGTCCTAAAGAAGGCTGCTCCAAGTGGCAGCTATTGCAGAAACACTTCTAAATCTTGCTAGACATAAAACTCATGGAGGCCACTGTGCCTTGATCCCCTAAGCACCAGGAACATCTCTTACCGCCAACATGAGTCACACACGGAGAGGGAGGCTGCAGAAACAATGTTACAAGAATCATTCAAGTGCTGAGCAAGCTGGTCTTGAGACCCCAGTGCTGTCCTACATATGCAAAGCAGCCCCTGAAATTCCACAGCTCTGGATTTTATGGTCCTCTTGGCATCCTAAACCCATACCTTGTCTTCCAAGGGCTGAGCCAGGGTCTTGCTTCAACTGGTGGTGTCCTGGTGTACCAGTCAGAGGCAGAGGAAGTTTCCTTCTGGACAGCCCCTGACTCTGCAGGGGTTTCAGCAGGAGGCTGGCAATGACCCACAGCCTATCCTACCCACCCACGGTCCTGAGGAATAGAGGACGGGGCTCCCAACCCACACAGCCTCCCCTCCATTGGCCAAGCTGGAGGGCTGTTCCCAGCAACACCCAGCTTCCCAGATGCTTGCACAGCACTGAGGCAGCTCCCTCCTTGGGCAGTTATCAGCTAATGATTTTGGGCACATGTTGTAAGGCTTTGGCACTGCTGTTTCAAATGCAAGTCCTCCGACGGATCTACCCGCACAGTTCCCAGTGCAGCAGGCCATTGTGCAAGAAGGCACTGTGAGGAACACAAGGCACATTGTGAGGAATATACTGAGGTTTTCTACATTCCCAGGGGGTGCTAGCTGAATTTAGGAATAATTTGGATCCCCATCTACTCAATTACAAGCTTCCTTAATTACCAGATATCTTTTCCTTTAAGAGCAATCCATTCTTTGCAAATAAAGCCTCCCATTGGCTTATGTGGTCGTAGCACAAGACTTGAAAACTCCCCTTTGGATTGGTGCAACAAAATTAAACTTCTGAGAGAAGCAAAAGAAAATTCAGTAGCACCACTGATTGTCAAATGAATAGTGATTCTCTGGATTAATGTTAAAACCCATTTATTTAGGCTGTTGTGCAGGGCGCACAGTTCGACGCAGTTACGTATACACAGTATGCACATCCTGACAGCGTACAAAAGGGCAAGGAGCAACGGGGGCTTACACTGCACGTGTATGTACAGACATAGTAAACTGGGAGGTTTACATTAGAAAATTACCTGACACTATTCATGTATCATCAAGGCCATTAGAAATTGTGTAGAAAACCAATAAAACTTGGAAAGTATCTACTATTATTACACTTTACCCAGGCTGGATATAGAGTCAGGCTTCCCATACAACAATACTCATGAGCAAAGCCTACAGGATCCCTCAAGCACTTTGAAAGGTCACATTACCGTTCACTCTAGCACATCCCATTACATGTTAAAGATTAACATATTAGTATTATTTCCTGTTTTCCTGGGAAGAACAACAGCTTAAATACTTCAAAAAGCTAATTTTCTCCTGGGAAAAGACCACAAGGAAGGATTTAAAGACCAGAGAGAACGAAACACTAATGAAATGTTGTAACAGCACTTCCTGGTCCTTCCAAAAAACTCTTCACAGACCAGGCAGCACCTAATTTAAAGCGCTGTATATTGTCGAGATTTACAGAAGTGCAATAGCAGGCCTTGGCAGACCCCAGGTCTTCTGCTGATCTTTACCTTGCTCCTATCCTAAGGGCTGCAAGAGATCGTACTTTTGTAACCTGCATAGAAAGACACAGAGAGATCAAACAGATTTAGCAAAATAATACTAAACAAAAACAATAGATAGAAATATGCAGCAATGTCACATGAGCCATACCTCACTCCCTCTACTTATTCCGTATTTAATTTCTGACTGAACTTTCTTTCTTAAGATGTCAGCAGAATGAGGGAGCATTAGAAACAGAGTGATTTAAGAAACACATGATTCTTGTGGCCAAGGCCCCAGGGACACCCAGAACCTGTGTTTGTTGACTTTCAGCTTGACGAGCAGGTCCAACTCTCTTTAAGGACTCTTCTATGCCAAATTTCTGCACATACCAGTTCAGTTTTGATAGAAAATTTTAGCAGTATAAAGAATCCAACTGAAAATCCACCCAGAGAGTAGTTCTAAAGGACCAATTTGCTGTTGCAGGTAACACAAACCACAGCTGAGTGCAACATAAGTAAAAGACTGTGTTAAAACTGCTCCCAAAGGTGGCTTAAGTAAGATGCCTTGTGCCCAAATACACCCAATATAGGACATATTTGTAGAACATTCAATCACAGCCAGTATGATTTCAGACATCTTTTCCTTTTAGCACAGTAGATGTGCCATTTGCAGTATAAACTCTAGTGCTTAGTTTATTCAGTTTGTTGCCTTGCATGAGCCTTTTGGAGAAAAGGTGATGACAGCATAAAGAACCTCTCAAATTGATTTCTCTCCTAAAGTTTAAAGTTCTGTGGTGGAAATCTTTACAATGAGTCAAAACTTACTTCAGTGAAGACACATTTCAAAACTGTATTTTCCATGTTGATTTTTACAATTCATTGTTGAATTGCTACAATTCATTGATAATTTTTACAATTCATTGCTGAAGTGGCTTGAAAATTGCTTTCCTTTTGGAGAATGACTTCCTTAAATATAATAATAACTAGTATTTTACATTCAGCCTTCTTACAGTGTGAACCTCTCATTCTAATTGTTTTAGAGAATGAAACACTTCAGCTCTAAGTATTAATATACCAGAATTTTATTTAAAAGGATTCAGGAAAAATACTGAATTACCAGATTCTCTTTGTCATTAGTAAGCAGAGGGAATAGCTATTTAAAAGTAAGAAGCCTTCAGTAGCACTCTTTTTTACATTTACAAATGCAGCTAGAACATGTAACGTGTAGGAACATTACATCAAATTTACATCACGGCCTGTTTCCCACACAAATCATTTTCTGGCACAGAAAGTCAGTGAGAACTTCCAGAGCTTGAGCATAAGCAAATAAGACGTGTGGTTAAGTCTGGTGTTTTAAAAGTCTGACAGCAATTCCTGGACAGGGGTGGGGAGAAGAAATGGGTTTCTGTCAGTGAGTGAAACTGTAGGCTGTGAAGGCACCACTGAAACCAATGAAGTGTTTCCTGGTACTAAGAGAATGCCAGAAACAACTGGCATTCACAGGAAGCTAAAATCAAACGTGCAGGTAAGTAGACCTGATTTTGAGATCAAGGACAAAACCGAACTACACTCACTCTCTGCCTGCTGTAATATTCTATTAAATCGTATTTTAAACACAGTTTTAAAAAGTATCACTTCTAAAACTATTCAAGATCAAAGTTTATATAAGTAGCAACTTGTGTATTTCACTTTAATACAGCCATTACAAGGACTGATGCCACATGCTGTATTAGAAATCTCCAGTTTAACCATGCTATATATGCATTTTTTTAGTATGTATGTGTATACATATATATATACACACGCACACACAAATTATCAAGCTCAGTTAAACACAAAGCAAATCATAATACCTTCCCCTCAGAAAACAGTTTCATCCATTAAGCTTCATATTGCAAAGCTAGTTACAGTGTCATAGGCAAAACACAATTTTACAAAATCACCAGGGAGGAAAAAAAGCATTTTTACTTTTAAATTGGTAGAATAAGCCACAATAGAAGCAATTAAAGGAAATATGACTGAAGAATGAAGTACACAATATTTTCTTCTTTAGTGCTCTCTAAATAATCCAGTAAATGCAAATAAATAAAAAGCCTGGTGAATTTTACCAAATTACTTTTCTATCATGAATTTAGTTTGAGAAGTCCACCATGCCATATGTAGCTGTCTGCCTCTAGTTTTCACCTTGTAGTTTAAGTAGTCAGCTAATGCAACATATTTTTTTGCTAAGACTTAAGGCTTAAACCTTCCCCCACAATGTTTTTAAACTAACGATTACCTAACATTGCCCTTCCTTGTCTTAATTTGCATTCTCCTACTGAAACAAAGTTATTTAATTGCATTAAAGATCTCAGTGATCTAAACTGAAATCTATTCTTTGGATGAAATACATGGCATGACACATTAGCAAGAAAAAGAAGCAAGCGAAAAAACAAGCAAAAACCAAACAAAACACCAAAGACAAGGCCAAACCCAGCAGTAAAGCAAGAAAAGAGAGGTGAGAAGAACCAGTTCAGAGAGTGGGAGAAACACATACGAAAGGGCCACCCCAAAGGATACAGAAGTCACTGGTAGAAAGAAGGTTCTCTAGATTTTATTTTCATGGTCCCGTGTTAAAATGAACAGAGATAGGTATAAGACCTTTCCCACACACACCTGCAACAGCTTCTTAAAGACAAGATGGGCTGAAGAGCCATGGGATACCCGACTCCTCCTCTCAGGTATCTGCGCTTATGCTATAGAGTTGAGTTTTTACCAGGGTGACCTGCAAAGCCAGGCAGGAATATAAGCATAACTCTCTTAAATAAGGCTCCACAGGAAAAAACAACTATTTCATGGAGGTTTTTTGTTGGGTTTTTTTCCCCAGTATTTTTACATCCAGCACACCTGTTGTGTGGAAAAGCAAAGCCACAGCACCACGCAGTTGTGCCTGATAACTCTGTTGTTTGGGCAGGTATTACCATCCTGCTCCAGTGCTTTCTCTTGCCTAGTCCAGGCAGACAGATGAGCTACACAGCGACAGCACAGAATTTCTCTTCCACGTGCTCCCTTGTGTGTTTGAGTAGGGCTGGGCTCCAAGTTGAACCTCGTAGGTATAAACACTGTAATTCAGATTCTGCATTAACATAGTTGTTTTCTGACATTCTGTTTTCCAGAAAGCTACCAGAAATTATTACCTAGTCAATACAGTTATTTATTCTATAGGGTGGCATATGCCATGTGTGAACTGACAAGAAGACATGTAGCCAAAATCAATCCAAAGATTATTCCAAGGAGCAGCAGTAAGTGCTCTAAATTTAAAGATGAGTTCACTGGCTTTGTTGAAAACAACGCCAAGATCCTAAATGCAAAAGAAGAGTAAGAGCTGTGTTTCCAAATGCTATGGAATACAACAATTAGCACAGAGCAGCAAGATGGATGCCCGAACTACTGTTCACAAGAGAAGAGATCTGAGAATTCAAAAAGTGAATTTAACTGAAGAAAAACTATTAAAGACAGGAAACAAACAGCAGAAGTGCCAATTAATAGTACAAAAATTTCTTACCATTTTTAGAAATTTTTCTGATGTGTGAACAAGGGTCCTGTCCCAAATCCCTACACCTAAATGAATTTGTTCCCAAAACAAAGGTGGTGGCAGGATCGGCTGGTCTGTGTATTCCGGATGTTATTTCTCAACTTATTTTGTTGGAGTTCAACGTACGCTTGGCAGAAAAGTTTTGAGCCTCAGTCCCAATGCAAATTAATCTCTTTATGGCAATACAACTGGAATTACCATATTCACAGGGATTATTAATTAATCAAAGTGCTATTTAAATAAAAGTAAAGTGTGGCAACTTCAGCTCCTCAGTATAACGTATTTTAAGAAAACATTTGACACAGTAGTCAACAATTCACTGGAAGTGCAGTTTAGTAGAACCTTACTGAAGCTAGAGATTAAGAAGTTAAATACTGTATCAAGTTTAATGAAGAAATCAAGGGTGAATAAGAAGTGTGAAAGCTGAGGCCATAGGGAGCTGTAGATTGGATACAAGATCCCGCAGAGTTCAGCGTATGCGGTCACAGAGCCTGTCCTGCGATTACTGTTTCACATGGGTACACAGGGGGTTTGTGTTGCCGGAACAAGCAGTGGGACAGCCAGAACACTGCATGGACACAGACAGCTCTTGTCAATGCACACACGTGCTAAGGCAAAATTACCAGACTGCAGAGAATGTCTTCTGCTGAAATTCAGCAAGTTATAATACAGAAGCCAGTCTGGGAGCACATGGCCTGAAGAACTCCAAGACCTTTTGGTTCTGGGCAGCAGGCTTTCTAACAGCCTTCAGATAATGGCACCTCCTCTTCTGTAAATACGGTAGCTTAAAAGTAAACAAACAGACAAAAAAACCCCAAACAAGCAGAAAAAGCAATGCAATTGTCCTACCTCTGAGCTTGATCTCTTTTCACCTGATCCACTTATCCAGAGCACAGGAAACATTAACTGTTATGCACACGTGCATTAGGAATATTTACACCAAGCAGGCCTTCTCCTTTGATGTGCATTTCCATCTGCCCTCGTTTCTTCTGATGCCTAAAGCCTACTGCTGTGAAAAGAAACACTCTGACACATTATTTACAAAAGCCAATATAAACACCTCATAGAATAGCAGCAATTCAAAATGCTCCATTTCCTTTTGCTAATTTTGTCTTTCCTGAGCTATGAGCTATGTGGGCATAAGCTGTCTCTTCCTGAATATCTAGAATATTGCAGGCACTGCTGCAGATATTGTGGTCCCTTCTTGTGAAGAAATGTGATGGTTTGGTGGGAAACCCTTTTGGGGTTGGTGAGCCCACTTCATTCACACTGAACGAAACACACACATTTGGCATGGCGGCAATCTCCTTGCATGGAAGGAAGAAAAAGCAAAAAAAGCCAAAGTTTCTCTAAATGCACTCCGAAGCAGCAGTTTATCAACTCAAACAGTAAAACGAACACAAGTGACAAACACCACTAATCAAAACAAAATCAAAAAACTGGCCTATGTCTTTAGATCTAGACTCAGCCCAGTGAAGTGAAGAGTGAAACTCACTCCAGCAAATTGGCTGAATTTGCTAAACAAATTATTGGTCACACAGATACTGCAGTAGTACACTGAAAATGAGTCTTTAACACAAGTGAATAAGTGGGCCAGTAAGGGATTATAGCACATAACATTTGTGTTTGTTTCCTTCTTAGAGCTCTCTACCATTAATGCTGCCCCTTCCAGACCTAAGTTGCTCCTTGCTGCTGACTGGGTCCTCAAACTGGGAAAAGGACCAGTCATATAGAACTCACATGCCTGCAGACCAAGTGGCTGGGGAGGAAAGACACTGCTCCGTGCTGCTTGGGAATGGAGCAGAGGGACACACTGACTGGCAGGTGTCTGCTACAGCCAGCCAGAACCACCTCCTGAGCCACCTGCCCAGCTGGCAGCCAGCACAGCATCTCAGCTGGGAGGCCGGTGCTCTCCATCTCCAAGCACAAACAGCAGAATGTGCTCTGAGGGGGTCAAAGAAATCACCACAGTTTGCATGCTGATCCATTGACACTTCCTACATTTTCCAGGAAAATCCTATCACCTAGCCAAGACAAATTATGTGTATGAGAAAACTTCTGTTAATAAGGGAACTTTGCTGTTTTGTAAGGAAGCTTTCAATTTTCTTATGGTGATATTTTTACTCAGAAAGTACATTTACGAACTTTAGGATCAACTACACCACTGGGATACCTCACTTTTGTTAAAATCCCTGATTCTTGAAACTAATCTGATGTCTTGGGCAGAACAACTTTTTAGATTATCCACATGTGAACAGACATGGCAAATGCTTGCATAAAAGTTCCTTTTCAAGAGCAAAAGGTTTTAACTAATCATTCTAATCTCTATATTTCCTTTAAAAACTTAGAAAACATATTTGAGGTACTTTGCTCTCAGAAGTTTGAAATATTTCATTTAGAACAAACCTCCTTTATTCCCAGTGGTGCTTAAGGCAGTTAACATGAACAGCCCTAGAGAACATGTTTTCAGAAGCAAAAGCACAATCATGCTTTTCAAACTGGTACAGGCAACAGAAAATACAGGTTTTGAGGTGAAGAGGGGACTACTTCAAGAAGACAGAATATCTTCTTTCACAATGAGGTGCTCTGCTCAAATGTATTAGTCTGGCCTGTAAACAGGGGCACTATTTTGCATCCTTTTCTCTCCACCTCAAGAGCATATTTTTAAAAATATAATCCCTTAAAGCATTTACCTCCCCTTTCAAGCACAATATTCTGAAGCTACATACCTATGCAGAAGCTCTCTAACTAAAGTCACAAACCTCAAATCTAATGCTTCAGCAAGAGGGGCTCCAAGAAGAGAGAAATATCAAACTAGAAATACGCACAGTTAAAAGTATGAAGTAAACATTTTAATTCCTCATAGCAATTCTGCCCTATGGAGTAACAAAAAGGGTCATGTGTATGTACTGAGTACAAGGCCAAACAAATATAAGAGAGAATAGAATGTCACCTGAGAGGAGGTCTAATTTATGCAAGAACTGCTTAGCAGATAGTTTGTATACCTACTCACATGGGATTCTTCCATGTGTATTAGAGAGATGAGAAAGCCCATTAACTTGCTCTTACCTGAAACATACGGCCATACATGTATTTGATAGCACTGTCCACTGTAATGTGCAGTTATCAAAAAAACACTTCAAAGTTTCTCAGTGCTTAAGATATTGACCCATTAAACTAAATTTCACTTATCCTGGGCTAAGCATTACATAGGCAGTGATTGAAAGTTCTTACATTTCCCACAGAGTTCTTATATGACCAAATTATCCTCTGTTCTCAAGAGAGCAAGTTTGCTCTGATGATTCACATCCTATTTTGAATCGACAAACACCAGTGCTTCCTCCCAACTGTATGTGATAATTTCTTAAGCAAAACACCATTCTCTAGGGATACAATATGATTTTTTTTCCATTCTGACCAGAGTGTCAAACAAAAGATAGTCAAAATTTGTACACTTCTCTAGAAAACACCACTGGAGTGTGCTCAGTAAAGCTGTCAGAAATAAAGGGCATTAAATAACAACAATGGACCTCAGAGAAATTAACTTTATCTCTTTATTGTTAACCAATGAATGTTATCCAAAATAGTAGATGTAATTGTAGCTTAATTGTACAACACAAAAACATGATGCTAAAGGAAAAAGCATGTGGAAAATTACTTCACCAAGTAATCATTAAATGTATTCTTAGTATTTCTGCACCAGTAAGTGTTCCCAACTGCTGGTGACAGCAGCTATTACCACTTTGTTCATTGTGAAAGTCTGTATTACAAATGGTTGTTCCTGGTTGTTTAGATTTTAAAAAACAAAACAAACAAACAAAAAAAAACCCAAAAAGAATCACACAACTTTATAAATGGATCTAATTCATTTAGCCCTACCCTATATGTTGTAGATTTATGAACAATAAACTTTACTGGTGTTTTTTCCCAACACTGAAACTGATGTATCAGTGTTAGTGCACACTTTCCAGGGAAAAATGAAAACTCACTGGAAGCACAGTATTTCACCTGCTATGGCAAACTGTTTGAATACTTCAGAAATTTGCTTAAGCTTCGGTGTATGAAGCCTATGAAACAAAAACTGTTCTTACAATGCACTGCAAGTTGAAACACCAACTTCCACCAAGCAGCATTTTGAAGCATGTGCACAGCATCTGCACATCAGCCTTCAAGGTGAAGCAGATATGTTTAGCCCCACAAACCAAAAATATATTAATGTATCTTTATTTAATTTTCATGATGTCACCCCACATAGCCAAACTTTTACTCCGCAAAATAAAAAAAAACTTAGTTGGACTGTTTGTAAGAAATTTAAACCTATTGTGCATGAAAAAAAAGTTTAATAAAATGGCAAAATTTAATAGATAAGTGTAAATTTATGAGTGCATAATATCAAACAGGAATAAAAGCTGAACCATCCTCAGAGAAAGTTAGGTTCTTCCACTGTAGGTATTTAGTAGAGTTCTCTAACATAAGGAATAATTGCAGTCCACATTAACTGTAAAGTTGTTAATAAAGTTCAATTTATAAGCAAATTTCTCAAAAAAGCAGGTCTCCTTTTCAAGAGGGAAAGGACTTAATGATCTGACATCAGATATGACAATTACAATACTAGCTTCACTGAAAACTGAAGCTACAACACTTCTACTCCAATTCTGGGAACTTTCATTTTGTATTTGGAAACCCAAGCTGACTGACATGCACATTCTACACCCCTCCCAGAAGATAGTATACCAGTGACAGGTTACAGCTTTAAAATACATCAGATGTTTTCACAATTTAAAGTCAACAGAAGGCAGTTAGACAGTATTTAGCACTATAAATCCATCCTAAAGTAAAATAAAATCCTAGGAGTGAAGGCTCCTAGCAATTGACTATTCACTGTGTAGCGATGGTCAATTTAAACAGTTTTTTCATGGTGTTTGAAGGACCGGTCATCATGTACATAGTAGTGAGGTAGGATACTGTCCCCTCCCTGGGACTGATGTTTTCATATGCTCCCTTGCCAGAAAGGTCCAGGTCTCCCTACTGCAAATAAAATAATTACAAGCAAATTGCACATTAAGCTTTGTTTATTTTTTCCCCTCTTTGCTGCATTAGAACACTTTACACATCTAAAAGTATTACCTAGGAAATCAATACTTACTCAAGCCTATCAGCAGCCATGTGCTGCCCACAGGTAGTGTTCCATTTAAAAACATTTCCTGGAACTACCACCTGCCATCCAGACCTTTGTGAACAGGTAGGCAAAGAAAACCATCAATGATGACAGGATATGAAACACCAAAGAATTTCACTTGGGAAAAAACCAAAAAAACAAAACACAAAAACAAAACAAAAAAAACCAAAACAAGGAAAAAACAACCAAACTGGAAGTCAGCAAATATCAAACTCTTAATGGTGTAGTTAACATTGAAAACTAATTTCAAACTTCATACTGAAATAGTACCTATCCAGTTTAGGTTCAGTTCCATTCTTCTTTCTATTTCTTAAAGTTAAGCAATATATACACTTGTCAGTCACTGTATGCTTCACATCTGTTTCCAAAGGGGAAAAAAACAAAAAACAAGCAAAGAAACTGAAAACACAATGAAGAAAAAAGTGCTATTAACCTCCGCACCCTCCCCCCCAAAACCTAGGGTTGATAGACTGCCTTACTGCGGAATAGCTTCCCTAAAAATTTGTCTTCTAGTCATTGTAGTCAACCTGGTATTAAGTGCTTTGGCAAAGTGGGGTGCAATCCATCAAATCTGCAAAGGCCTGCTTTTTTTTCTCAGTTGGTGGTTCAGCTTTACGAGGAACATATATGCAAAATAACAGCTCTCACATTGCTTCAAACTCATCAATACGCTGCTTTGTATTGCCTTGTCGGATTTGTCGGAGAGTCTTGTACTTATCGCGGCCTGCTTTAACATTCTCAGCATGAAGGACATCATTTTGTGTTTTCTTGGTTTCATCTCTGGCTTGAGCCAACTCAGAACTTAAAGCCTGTTGAATAAAATATTTATATTTAAGTGCTCTGACTAATCTTTTAATGATTCTGGAGTTTCTGGTAATAACTACTCTGCAATTTGGATAAGAATTTCTTGAATGTCAACCTATGAAATGCTTGTGCTGTTCAAGTTGTGAGGTCTATCAGAAAGAATGCAGAAGGAAAGATAAGGAGAGCATAGGATTCTTTCCTTACTTAAGTGTGAGCATCAAACAAAAAAAAAAAAAAAAAAAAACACCAAAGCCTCGTACACCATAACATCCAAGAAGAAAGGGACCAGCAGGATAAAGCAGGGAAATCACCTTATTTTTAAATTTTTGCTTGACTAAAGACAGCTCTTCTATTTCTCCCTGATCCTATTCAGTGACAACCAAGCAGGAAGAACATTACACATACACACTACTAAGATACTGATAGCAGAAAAAGTAGCAGCTTTCCATTTTTTTCTGTTTTCTTCCCAAATAGACATTTCATAACCAGGAAAAGGGTTACCACTAACATAAAACATACTTCGAGGGGTAAGACTTTTTAGGAGGAAACACTCCATTTCAGGGAAATAAGATTAATCCAAAATGGGTATAATTGAGTTTTTGCATTTGCAACATCTGTGAATGACTGCAAACACACACAAATAATATTAAGCAAGCTTCTGTTCATACCATTTAATGAGTTTTGGTATTGGGAAAGGAAAGCATTATAACATTCAATGTCCTGGACATTATATAATTATTAGACACGTTTACTGGCCAATGCAACAACATACCAACACTTTTAAGCTATAAAGCACAACCTTACATGCAACCTATCTATTCCACTTCTAGAACACTATGAATGATACTTGTTGGTAAATTAGTAATAAACCTAGTAAATCTTAAAAAGCCTGTTTCCTTGGCACACCATAACTTCAACGAGATTTTTGACAAAAAAAGAATGAAAACCCAATGCCTGAATTATGTTGACACAACTATGAATTTTCATTACCTGGAGCTGTTTCTTAACACGTTCGTTTTTCTGTGTTTCTGTTACCCGTTCTTCTTCACTCCTGTGATTCATAACACCATCAGAAGACAGTTCAGCACTGGCTTCAGCATTGTTCTCATCATGTTCATCATGTTCATTCTCTGTTGGAGGAATAACTGGTGGGGGAGGGGGTGGAGGAGGAGCAGACATCACAGATTTCAATTCTTCTTTGGTCTTTTCCAAGTCCTCTTGGGCTGCAAAAGCCTAAATACAGTAAACAGTACTTAGCATCTTTTAAAATTATTTGTCAATAGAAAAATAAAAATAAATACTTGAGATGTTCTCAGACACATGGAAATTATTCTTTATAACTAAGATGACTAGCTTACACACTGGAAATTGTCAAATAGAGATACATGTTAAAAAAAGACATGACTCAAAATCAGCTGTACCGGAGTCAAGCTATTTCCAGCAGTAGACAAGAAAAGAGTGAAAGAATAGAGCAGTCATACTGATTGCTTTCTAACTTTCTTAGCGTCCTGAAATTTAAGGCTCAGAAATTTCCTAAATCAAAGATGATGTCTCCAAATTTCATACTCAACCAGAACTTACGAAAATTTTTTTCAATCACTTTTTGAACCTGTGCACACAGTAAGTATTCCCATTCCATAACTAACTGCAGATTTTGTGAAGAAATACAATTTTACTTTAAATTATTTTCCAATTGCATTTCACGTGCCATTGTTATTGTTTTGGTTCGTCCTTTCACCACAACTCATGATTTTATACACCTTCCTCCTGAGGTGTTTTCTTCTCTAATACAAAGCTCCAATCTATTTCATCACCATACGAAAGAAAACCATTTCTGATCTTTGACCATGCCTTTGTGATGGGAATTCCCCCTCCCTTCACAACTATGCAATATCAAGTTAAATAGAAGCATAGGCTGTCTTCAGTAGACTGGAGAACAAAAACCTTTAAGAAAGACTTCTCTGAAGCCTAAGGGAAAGAGAGAGATTCAACCACATGAACTTCCAGTGGGATTTCCACACTCATCTCCCTTAGCTTCTTTGAAGTTCTGACTTCACACAGCATGGGCTCATTACTTTGTGCTGCCATTCTGAAGCTTCCTCTTCTTTCTTTTTCTTGGCCTCCTCCAGAAGTGCAATCTTGGCTGTGAATTCAGCAATTTCTGCTGCCTGAAAGAAACAAAAAAAACAAAGTAGAAGTTTACACTTGGTATCATTTTGGCTTTGCAGAGGAAGAAAGCAGAGCCTTTGCTGTGATCTGGTTTGAAGAGAGTTAGTTACCATCCATCACTTCTCTGCTAAAAATAGAAATTTTAGGCATACATGAGAGAGGGAATGAATCAGAGTACTCTTGCCTGATGGAAATAAGTCGAGAAAAAAATATTTATCTTCTGCACTTCCAAAGCTTTCCAGGAAACACCAGGTTGCAATTACAAATTAGCATTTCAGGCTGTTTCAGTCTAATACAACTTTATGGTCCCACCATTAAGATTATGATTCTGGATCGTAATCTCAGTACTACTAAACTAAATCTTCCCTTCAGAATTGTGTGCTAAATTTGCAGAAGACAAAAAGCTGGTTTATAGTTGAGAAATCATTTCTTCTACTATTTGCATGACTTTCTCGATTATTATGCACAAATTACAAGTAGTCTAGCAAAGAATGTGAGAATATTCTGCAAATGCTGGAAATGGGACAGAAAAAACAACAACAAAAAACACCCCAACCACAACAAAACACAGTGTCACCAACTCTCCACCACCACCAAGCTTCAGAACAGACCTGTCTTAGAGAACAGGCTTCCCAGTGGACTGCAGAAGGAACTACTCTTGTTCTCAGCTGGATAAGCCTGACACTATTAGAAAGAGAATGTAACGAGTGCTGTCAGTCTGAAAGGTCTTCTTCATTTAATTTCCTGCAGCTCCAGAGTTTTATTTTTGTCTTGCAAAGTAGTGGCAAATCTAATGCAGTTTTCTAAAGCAGTTGCCAACAACAATCTGTAATGTTATCTCACATACCTGTTTCAATGCACTTCTTCATTTGACATAAGCAAGAATAAAAGCTAAATTTTCAACTACCTTTTCCGATTTTTTTTTTAAAAATAGGTTTAAAGTCTCTTACTAGCTGCTCTTGGTTCTTCATTTGATCAGCTGCCTGCTTGGCTAGAGCAGCTTTAGCTACTTCAGCTGCTCGACGCTCTTTTTCCAGGCGCTCTGCCTCCTCTTTTGCACGCTTTCGTTCTTGATCCAGTTCTAGAGCTCTTCTAGTCTGTTCCTCTAGCTCTGTCAAGAGGAAAGTTTGCAGACAAAGTATCACTACCAAGCTCTTCCTCATATGTAACACAGATAACAGCTGTAACACGCTCAAAATAAAGTAACCTACAACACTAACAAAGATTTACAAAGCTGCCTCAAGCTAAGAAAAGCTGTTGAGCACATTACCTGGAGCTTTGTTACATGTCTGATTCCCGCCCCCCCATCATATTTTGGATATATACTTCATCTCACCCGACATTTTTGACAGCCCAGTGTTTCAGAAAATTGTCACCTCACTGATAAAACTAAACACCAAAATATATGTACATATACATGAACATACACCCTCACTCTTACTAGTGAGGAGATTTTATGTACATTAAATCACACTCTCTTGTAGTAACAAAAATAAAAAACTCTTCTACTGTATTGAATTGCCTGACAGATTCCTTAATTGCAGCTGAATATTTAGGCATGTGCCTTCAGCAAAATGACCCAAGACCAATTGCAAGGGTCAGAAAAATTCTCTATACAAAAGAGGACGACAGTTTTAAATCAAGGGAAGGGTAATAGTCGTGTAGCTGCCTGGTTAGCAAAGTATTGAAATCTAAAGGGCAGAACCATTCGTGAAATAGGAGGAAGTAATAATCTATAAGTACTGCAACGTAAGACTTAAACAGACAAATTACGCTCCTACTCTGATGTGAAAAATTAAGTGACTACAAAAAAAGTCTTTCTAAAGCTCTTTGCTGATTTTAATGATAAATTTTCCACTATGTTTTTGGCTAGCCATAGCTGCCATAGACTCCTTCACCAGAAAACCGTAACAATGACTCGTTTTTTGGAACAATCCATTTGCCCTTCACCATATGGTTTAATACTAGAAAAGCATCTTCCCAGGTATGCTGACACATGCTTCATCTTTGCACCTGTAGTTTTAAGTAGGTCTCATGTAACCATTATTCGTCCGTTGTTTTCCCAGTCTTCCTACTACTTCAGTTATAAAATTAAAATGAACAGCATCACAAGTATGTGGGGTTCTACAAATGCAGTACTTAGAAAATTAAATAAAACCTGTTACTATTTGAAAACACTGCTCAAACAAACCTTTCCATGAAGATGGAGAACACTAAACTACCATGTTAACTACAGAACAGACACCATTCATATAAAGACTTTTCCATATGTGAATAGAAGGTCAAAAAGACCAGCAATACGTGAACATTATGTATTGCATCAGAAATTAGGCTATATCACTTACAAAAGTTATGAGAAAATGTATACTGCCAAACCTCCAGAATCACCCTGACACTCTTGTCCTGGGCCAAACAGCTCTCCCTTAAAACAATTCCAGGGCACAGTTAGTGTGTTACCTGTCTGGATGTGTCTAACCTATGTTGCACTGAAAGACTGAAAAATGCAGTGGAAGAGCTGGAGAGTAGTGGCAGGCATATGTAACTTATTTGTATAGATTTAGTCAGTGATTCTCTCTATCGTGCCTGAAGCCAACAGTTAGGAAAAGAAAGGAGCAACAAAACTTTTACGAATGTGAGCCAAACCTGAAGCAAAAAAACCCAAAACAACATGGAGAGGAGGGACTCGGAAGTCATGCAGGCAGGGACTCTACAGGGTGATTAAACACAAAAATTGTCACTGGTGAAACGTGTTTTGTCACTAAAGTCTGACAAGATTTTAATTTTCAATTTCTCAGATCTTAAAAGGGAATAGAAAAATGAAGGAAAAAGGAATTTCCAAGTTAGAAGCTAAATTCAACAAAACCCCAGAGGAAGTACTTTGAATCTTCGTCTCTAATTTCCCTGCTCCCTCCAACTTTAGGTTTTCAGCACTTTAAGCCTTACATAATCCTGAGCTGAAGTGTGTATGCATTAATTTCCTTTTTACTAAACTGGAATTTTTGTTATATTAGAAATTGATTTTAAGTTAAAAAGATACACACAAACGCGTGCACACCATCATCTGAACACTAAAAAAGAATATTTTTTACATCAAATATTGCTATTATTAGAAAAATAAACTTTTAAAAAAACCCATAAAATAACAACCCTCCAACAGACAAAGAATTGTGGAACTGAGCTACCCAACTAAACTAAACATCGTCATTAGATTTAAGAAATCCATGACCACCAAGAGCTCACCTTTCTGAGCTTTCATTGTTTGTTCCTCAATTTGTCTTAAACGTTCCATTAGTTCTTCCTTTTCACGTTCTATTCTTTCCTTCTCCTTTTCTGCTATCTCCCTTTTCTTCTTCTCATTTTCTAATTGTGCCCTGAAAAAAATAGTAAAAAGGGTTTTTTGCTCTCAAGGATATTAAATTCTACTCTTCGGACGCTGGTAGCCTACTTTGCAGTTTACTCAGCTGGAAGAGAAGCATATGACTTTAAATGTTTCAAATTCAGTTTCAAAATACCATACAGAAAAACAATTTACGAACAGAACTGACCAGCAACTTTGGTTACGGTTCAAGCACATAAATCCACAATTATATCTGCATTTTAGGTATGTTGTTTAATCTGGCTAGAAATGGCAACAGTATTTTTTAAATACACAAAAGGTAAGCCATGCCATTCTTCACTGAACTTGCTTTAAAGGCTCACCTGCAGAGTATAAAAGTCCCTAAGGATCAAGCAAAAGAGACGTAACACTGTTTCACAAAAAACATAATGAGAAACAACTGTACAGCTACTGTTACTGTGCTGAAAGTTAAAAAAAGATACGGTTTTCTATCAGGATAGGTGAGCCATGCCAATCCACAAATCTGCTTAAATAGCAATAAAGAAAAGCAGTTCTCTCTTTTCTAGAATTCTAAGATGCCTGATACTTCTGTAACTCCTTAAAAGGGTAGGAGGATTTTGTCTGTTTCATAGAAGTTTGTTAATTACCTTTCCAATTGTTTCTGATGTTTCTCTTCTCTAGCTTGGGCCTTCATCTGTTGCACTTCAATTGTATCAGGTTTCCTCCTCCTCATGTACAATTCATGATTTCCCATACAAAGTGCCAAAATTCGCTTGTTAATTCTCAGACGAGGTGCATAAAAAACAAAATCCTAGCAAAAATAATTCCAGTATATCCATTAATCTAAATAAATACATGCATTACTGCATGCTTGCACTGGTTAAGTGAAAACTAGTATTTTGACATTTTGAGCAAGCAAAATCTATAAATCTAGTTACTTGTAAGATAAATTCAACATTACATCTGGAATACTCTAAGTAGAAATTAGCTGGTTTATATAATTTATTTAAAATTCTAAAAACATTAAACTATTCTCTATTCTATTCTGAAGAGATTTGACCTAGAGTCTCCTGAAACGTGCTGCTGTAACACACACACAAAAAAAAGAAAAACAAAGGAGGGAGGGGGGCATAGAATTTAGCATCTTACACTGTGTCTTTTCAACACATTATGAAGTGTAAGTTGACTTAACAAAAGACCAAAAACTTAAGAGTACCAACCAGAAAAGAGAGAAAATAAACATACCACAGTATCAACCAGAAAAGACAGAAAATAAACATACTATATTTCAAAATCAAAATTTCCTTGTGATTACTGACTATTCCACCAGTAAGAATAATAATTGTCACAAAATATTTACTCATGCCATAATGCCAGACCAAATCCCTGCAGGCTTTGTATCCATATACAAAGAGATACTATTCTACACACTACTTACAGGGGCCTTTTTGTCAATTGGCTTTATGACAAATTTTTTGTCGTTAAAAGAGATGTTTCTTATTTCGCTCCAAGGAAAACCAATCTTGGGTGTCAGCCTTCAAAGAGAAGAAGCTCTCATTAGAAGCAGCAAGGCTGTGTACTTTATATATATATATATCCAATAAGGTTTATTCCCATATCATTTTCACTATTACACTTAGTTATGTTTAGAATGTTACATTTACAACATTATGTTTACATTAAAACATTAACAACAGTTCAAGTATATTTTGGTAGACTTTTTTTTGTAAACATATTATTCCATCAAATTAATTACATAATGAATAAACTACATGGCACTGTAACAAAAGGAATTTTAATTTGTGACTTCTACTTCTATCAGCTAGATGCTAAGCATCACAATCATGTACTGATTCTTTATAAGCTATTGATGATTTTATTTTCAGCAAAGAGAGTACCTAAATTTCAGAAATTGACATTTTAAATAGTGAAATTAAAGTAGCTTTCAGCAGTGCTGTACTTCAATTTAGCTCAGATTTAAGATGTGTTCTTTTGTTTCCAAAATTTAAAGCTATATTTATTTCCTTCACATCTTAAGCAAAATAAATCACATTCAGAAATTGTTACAATGTTATGCATTGACTTCAATACCTGTATATATTTTTCTCCTATCTGCACAGAAAGATTTTTCAATTCATATTATCTTAATTATAAGCAAGAGAAAATATTTAAGTATTTGATTGCTAACTATCAGGAGCTAAAGAATACCGAAAACTGCCTCATCATTCAATCTGATCAGAACATTTTCTGAGTATTTCCTTCCTTCAGGAGTTACATTGCCATCTAATGGTAATTAAGGCTTACAGAATTTTGTTACAGAGTATATACATCAAAAGTTGACAGCTGCTATCTGGAGTTTGACACATCACATTTCACTTCAAATCACTGTGAATGGACTGTTGACACCAGATACTACTAACAACTTTTTACTTTGTAAAAAAAAAGAAAATAATTAAGTCTGTTGTTCTATTTTCAAATTCTTCAAATTTTGTACATTTCAGCTTTATACCTCTTCGGGTAGGACGGATTATTTGATCTCCTTATCGGGACACAAGATTGACCTATTTTCTTTAATGTCCAAAAGGTTTCACTTTTAGATACCAAAGTTTTTCATGCTCTAACATCTATAATTCTAGTCATGGCTCTTACAAAACGTTTCTCATTAAATATCTTGCTCAGCTTCAAAATCTACTTTTCATCCTGACTGAAGGGGAAGTTTTGAGTGAAAAGTATGGAAAGAAACCGTACAAATATGGTCTAGTTGTCATAAATCCATATTAAGCAATGTAAATTTAAGTTTCCACAGAACTGCTCTTCCTTTCCCTTCTTTTGCATCCCTATTTATTCTTTAAAATTCAAATATTCTGGCAGTTAACATTTCTCTTTTTTTATTTTTTACATAGATTAGAAGGTCTTTGAGAGCCTGTTTTGCCAGATCTTACTGAACACACAGTAAGGTGGGGGTTGTATAATCTCAGATAGCATCTCCTAGAACAGAACTAGAAAATGAGTATTAGGCACTTACTTATCATCATGCTCATAAATATTCAGACCCAAAGCATCAACTCCCAGCCACAATTCAGTTCCTTTTTTATTCTTTATTTCAAAATAGTTGACTCCATACATTTCCAAGTCTTGTGCTATTTTAAGGTATTCCATCATAGAATCTTCTCTGATGAAAGAAGAAAAATTGGTATAGTGTAGACAACAAATCACGAGTACATTGTATGAATAAGGGAACTGCAGAATAACCAGTTAGTGTAAAATTTACTTATGAATTAAATATCTCTTTGAAGTTCACATGTAGTTTGACTCAGATACTCATTAAGAGCTCTACACCCTAGTATCCATGTAGAGTCCAATCACTGCACTTTGTCTTTCCACCCCATGAGCTAAGGAAACCCTAAATGTATTTTAGAGGCAGACAACTGTGGACAAAGGCAGTTGACAGCCTTACCAGTAATTATGTAAGTAAACCAATACCTTAACTGGAAATTCAGCCCTTATTGAAGCTTCTATGCAAGTTTTTCATAGCCACCTACCCTGGTCAGAATAAAAGAAAGTAGTTTTCCAAACAAATATACCATCTCCTAAAATACATCCTAATAATAATAAAAGGTCTTGGGAACATTTTTTTACATTATTACCTTAACATTCCCCTGTGCTCTTCATGCCAGTTCTGTATTCTTTCTTCCCACTGTTCTTTTGTCAGTTTGTGCTGTTCTAACACCCTGTGAATACAAGTTGTTGTTATTAAATGACACTGACAAACAATTTAACCTTTTAAAGCTACAAAAATAAGTTTAGTTACAAAGCATAACATATGCTTTAATTGAATAAACTTAAAGATGACTTCCTATACACTGTTCATCTTTTTGACACAAACAAGACACAAACTTCGTATTTGAACAAATACACTTTTAAAATAGTGTGAAAGTCAGTTTTTTCTTGGTATTCTGTATTCTTTGCAATATAAAAGTCACACCATGGCATATCTCAGCTAGCAGTAAAGTTGTAAAATGTAACATCTGGAACACTTGAAAATGCAGACCTATAGAATCCTCACACAACAATGCTGCAAATTAATTTCCAGGTATGCAAAGACACTTTTTCTTTCAAACTACAACAGAATGGAAGCCTGAGTGTAACAAACTAGCAGACAAGTTAGCAGACGAGCTTTCTGGGGGTTTTGTGTGTTGGTTTCTTTTATTAAAAAAAAAAAAAAAAAAACAAAACAATAGCAAAGCAGCCTCAGAAAGCTATTTGAGATTTGTCTACAAGAGTTATGCAGACATAACTCTTGTAATACAACTCTTCCATAATATGGAATTATATTACCAATTATATACCAAAACTTTCAATGTAGTACTGTGGTAAAAAAATCTAATGCATATGATAACTTTATTATGTTTTTATTTCACGCACTCAGCATCTCAAGCATTCTTGGAGAAATTATTTTAAAGGACAATTAAAAAAATCACCTGAACATTTGTCTACTGAAAAGAATCTTAAGTATTTGAATTTCCATTGCACCCAAGCACTCTCGTGTTCACAGACTGTCATCATAACTGAGCAAAAACCAAGATTTGTGAACACACTCAGCAGTGACAGTTTTACTGGTTCTACATCTCCCTGCCTTCATAGCAAAAGGTATTTTTCTAGGAAAAGGTATAGACTTCACTGTCATAAGCTGGAAGCAAACAGCCAAACCCAAGCTTTTCATCAGCATTTTTAAAAAACATTTTCAGAAATATTTCTCTCAATACTTCACCACAATCTTTGAAATGCCTACTGGTTTGCTAGAAAATTCTCAAGCTTAGTTATGCTAATAAGTGAGTTTTTAGTTTAGAAAGCATATGACTTAAAGAAACCTCAAATTACTCCATGTCACTCATTTCTTTGATGATTTATGTTACATATTTAGTAACTACACATTTGCCCACAATATATCACTATGTATCCATCTACACTAACAAAACTGTCTAACTTGGTACATTTATGCTTCATGCCAAACACACCAAGAGCATGGTTTCAGCTGCATAAAGAAATAGGACTAATCTTGGTGCTTACTTTCCCTAACCAATTAGATAAGTGATTGATACAAAAGAGTTTATATTCAACAGCAACAATTTAGTTTCTAAATTTTCTGTTCAGGCTAGCATTTTCCTGCAATGTATTTTATTTGCAATACGCTTTACAACAACTTTCAGGAAATAATTACCGTTTACATGTACAAAAACATTAAAATGAACAAAAGGAGAGAGTATCAAATGAATCTTAGTTGCTTCTATATTGGAGTATTTTGATTTTAGTTTAGTAGAAGCAGGCCTCCAATAACATTAACCCATTTTGGAGTATTTTGGGAGTGTGTTCAACTAAATCTCTGCAGGTGTTTGTGGGCAGGACAGGAAATACATCTCAAGAAACCTGTGTCTGTGACACTTCCTTGTTATTTAAAGTCTAAATTAGGATCTCCAAATTTTACTAGCAAAACATGAACTCCTAAGAAAGCCATCATTAAATGCACGTTATCACTTAATATTTTATTTCTAAAAAATGTGCAATAATTAAGTTTATATGCAGCAGGTGGTGCAAAATCAGTCTCACTCACCGCTGGGGGAGAAGTCTGTCACTGGCTAGGTAGCCCAGTTTATGGATCTCTTTACTGTAATCTGCATACTTGGACTGGACAGCATAAGAAGCCAGAAGAACTGCAGTTTCTGGTGGGCAATATATTTCATCATTTAAGATCGATTCTTTGACTTGCAGGAAGAAAAGTCTCTGAGTTATTTCCTGAATTAATTCTTCAGATACATCCTCTGGAAAAAACTTGGCCCTGAACTTGAACTGCAAAGGATTTTCTTTTCGTACATCTTGCTGTGTTACCTGAGGGAGAGGAACACATAAAAAAATAAAAAGAGCACTAAAAGGTATATTAAATATTATTATGTAGTACTGAACTCTTTAGCTACTCTAAACTGAAACACAGTGCTTCCTAGCAAGCCCACTGTGGAACTCACTAAAGGTTCACATGGAACAATCAACTACACCAATTTGGATAAACTAGATGATCTTGAAATACTACTTAAAGGCTGTCTAACAGATTTTTTTTGTAGGCTTGTGTGAAAGCTGTATTTATCATAATAAAGATCTGGAAAAAAAGAAGCTGTAAAAGACGTTAAAAAAATAAAAACTATATCCATGGATGATTTTCAGGAAGTAACAAATTAGGGTCTAACAACATTTCTTTAGGAAGAACTACAGCACATTTCATCGATGTCAGTGTAAAGTGGCATTCTTTTAAAAGTCTTTGAACTATCAAACTAAATACACGTGCTTTGCTCCTGTGGAAAAAAACATAATTTCTTTAATCACGTTATTTTTCTAGAATTGATAAGCTTTATAAATGTGATTTTTGTGAAGAGATGAGATGTGGTCTTTCAAAGATATGACCATTCAAATTCACAAATACAGCTTAGAGTAAAATGATCTGGTTCCCAATAGCTAAGAGATACAACGTGCTCAATGCTGTTTGGAAAAAAACCAAAAAAAAAACCAAAAAAAAACCAAAACAAAAGTTATCCTACAATCTACCTGTTAGATACCTAAAGTTTAGAAGCCTACTGTTCGTGCTTTGTTTAAAAGATCCATACACATACAAATTCCTGAAGCCCAAATTGTTCTGGTACACATGCCCAAACTGTAAAACATTTATTCTATTATGTTTTGCTAAATGAGAACAAGACAACCATATGAATCAGTTTTCCTAATGCATGCATCACCATGGTACTGTAAATACTGAAAACTATCTCCTTCTCAAATTAAATACTGATGCAGCTTTGCATATTCTTTTATAACTAATCAAATTTAACACTGTATTTTGTCATTTAAAGCAAATGAAAACCAATTTTTCGACTAAATTTGAAGTCAGCTATATCTCACCTACAGCATTAAAGCAGCAAACCTTGTAAAGTATATTTCAAACTGTACACGTGGCTCAATATTAGGGAATTGTTACCTTTTTATTTAGCTTCAGCCAAGTTGAGTAGCCTTTGCTGTCCACATACTGTAGCCCAAAAAACCAGACTTCCCGAAGACCAACAGTTTTCACCACCTAAAGATAAATGAGCCATAATCATCAGTAATCACTACGATTTTTTAAATGGTAATTAACCTACATAAACAAATCTCAAACTGAAATGTAATCAAACCTTACAAGAAGAAAAAAAAAGATAAAATAGTAGCAAAACATCAGGTTCATGGTACCCCAGAGCTCTACATAAATGCAAACACTGTGTTTCGAAACTATCAAGTGGAACATGCAGCTTACTGCTTCCATCAGCACCTGAGGAACAGAAGTTAGTAAACAGGACCCTGAGATTGGAAAGCACGTCTGGGAAGCGAACTGCAGACAGACCTATGGAAAAGTAAGTCCACTTACAGAAGATAACTGGAAAATTGACAATTAAGAATAACATTTGTGGACAAGTATGAGGTACAAAGATGAATTGGCTCCTTCAAATATTTTTACAACCTTCTAAGAGAGTTCCTGATAAAAGGGATAAGGATGATCCAGCTAATAAACCATACATGACTTTCCTATAAGATTTCTGATCACGTTTATCACCAAAAGCTACTAAAGAAACAAAATTGTCCTTGAATAGAGGGAAGATTGTGTTATGGATACAATAGTTAAAAAGAAAGAAAAAAACCCTCTGTTTTCATAACAGACTTGTAGGGTAAGCACTACTGAAGTCCCACAGGACTTCTAAAAAGGATGAAACTGATGTGACAAAATCTGCTGTAGAAAACCTTCCTGTGAATGAACCCTAAAAACACAAGCCTCAATAAAAGATGGTATTTAATAAAAACAAAATACTGTACATAAAAGACAACAATTTAAATTATGTGAACAAAGCTCTAGTTGTAAAGTAAAAAGGCAATAAAGCTGTTACATGACTATACATGTATATGGTATTCCCAAATCTCTAAAACTACATAAGTTGATGGTCACATCAACTTAAAAAAAGGATGCTGCAGCACTGGAAATGTTTCAGAAGTGTTGAAAAGAATGATCAGTGACTTGGAACATTTTCTGCATAGCTAAGATGAGAACTAGGGCTACTGACAGAGAAACAAGGAAAGGAAAAATATGATACAGATCTTGCATGGCATGTAGAAGGCAAATAGAGAATGATTATTCATTATTTCTCATAATATAAAAATTAAGAGAATCAACAGAAATCATGACATTGCAGGCTCAAAGTAAACAAAAAGCAGCACTTTTACTACAGAGTGCAATAAAACCGTGGAACTATTTTACAAGTCTTGCATAGCAAAAGCACATATGGATTCAATAAGCAATTAATCAGAAAGGTCCAGCAAAGGTTATTAAATGACTGCAAACTCTGGCTTCAAAAGATCCCATATGGCAGTACTTACGTATGTTCTCAGGTTGGACCATGCTGGCCAGCTGCTTTACTGAAGGCTGTTTTATGGAAGCATTCAGTTGCATGTGAAGTAAATAGAATTTTACACATAGATCCTCCTCCATTTTAAAGTAGTACTATCGGGTTGCAAAATTAAGATTTTGAAAATTAGAAAATGTCATAAGATAGTTGTGCAAACTTACTTCAGCTGCCTTGCATATTTGCATTATCACTTAACAATCATTCAACTGTGCACCTTTTTTCCTCCTCTACCCTTTCACCATCAAGCTCCAAAGCACAAAGTGGACAATGTTCACAGATCCAACCTGACTGATGTCTTTAGTGAGCACAGTTATTTCCTTTACATCATTTACTTCAGAACATAAACATTAAGAATAAGTGTATGTTACTAGTAACATAGTAACTATGGGTCCTAGTAACATAGGTTAAATTTGGTGTCCCAACACCAAAATTTCAGACCTGCTGCTTCTTTCGACACAGATCTCCTATGTAATGCTGATCAAACTACTGGTTTTATCAGATGACAGAGAATGCTCTTTACTTTGCAGCTGTCCAAGTTGAGCCTCTGTACCTTATCAGCTCTCTGAGCTGCAAAAGCTGCAGATGCTCAACAGCTCTGCCCATAAGGCATAAGGAGACGTGCTTATGCTCACGTCAAAACATTTTGCTCTCACCCACTAACTGCGGTCCTTCACTGAGATGCACTCTGCTTATTATTTATATACAGACAACTTGGATACAGCAGTGCAGAGTTACACGTGTTTGCAAATCAACACTAAAAACAGCTTACATATTAGCCTGTTTTACTTCAGACTCCACAAATAAGGAAAAAGCATTGCCTACACTGCCTCTCAGGCCAAAGAAAAAAGAAAAACTTTCTGAAACTTTGTACCAAGCTAATATATGCACTTATGCACTGCAGTAGCATGATACAATAAGTACAGAATGAGAAACTTAGCAGTTTGATTCTCGCTCAAACATTTCATTAAGTAGCTGAAGATGCAAGTCTTCATCACATCTGTAAAACGGATTTATCTACCATCACATCCTACAACCTGACTATTAATAGGCAAAAAAAACTTACTGAAGAAAAGCCACCAGAATAATATACATTTTGGCAAATCAAAATATACACGAAGACAACCTAACAAGGATTTCATTCAGTCACCTTCCAAAAGGCTGTAAGGAAGGTTTCTGAGACATCTGGAAAGGACAGCGGGGTATAATTCAAAATAAAAGAGAAAACCCTCCCATTCTTTTTGAATGGCAACTACAGTAAACCAGAGTTACTGAAGCCCAGTGCTAACACAACACAACAACCCCAGTAATACCACCAGTGTGTAGAAACATACCCACCACAGGGTTCTTCCTTTCCTAGGAAAGCTACAGATGCTTAACTGGTTGACTATAGGAGGACAGATCCTCTCTTGCCTATTCTGACTGCTGACAGGATAGACAGAAAGACCAATGATAAATATGTTAAAACACCTTCTGAAATGCAAGTAATAATAATAATAAAAAAGTTTGTGCAATAAATAAAAAGTTTGTTGAGTTTGCAAATGGAAAAGAGAAAGTCACGGATGTTAAATGCTGCATTTTTGTCTGCTAGCAGATGATGCATGCACATGGAATGGGAAACAAATCAACAACTCCAGAAAATACCAATTAAAAGCTTAAAAGAACACTGACTGAAAAAAGGACAAATTGTTCACCAAAAACGTAGAGGAGCACTAAACAGCAGCTAAATTCATGGAGAGGTTATTTTCTGCAATCAATAATCAACAAGTCTGCTGTCATGTTCACCACTTCTGCATAAGCCAATCCTTTCAATAACAGTGCTATTAAATTCTCTTTCTCCAGAGAAACAGGATAACTTTTGTCTGAAAATTTCACGACAGTTTTGCAATACAGTTCAGCTCTTGATGTTACTCTGTAGAATTCATACATGAATTTAAGATCAAGCTGAAAATGCTTCTCTCTTCACACACAACTGTGCTGGTTGTTCTTTCTTGACCTGACATTTTTTCAATTTAAACTTCCATAGGTAAGAGCTGGTGAGATGTCAAACACCACACAATGAACTGAGGAACAAAGAAGAGAGCATGAAAACAAATTCAGAGCTGTATCTTTGTTCCCAATGCCCCAATTTGGATGAACCTGATTACCTGGACGCAAGATTTTAAACAGCAGAATGTCACCCCACCCGATACTGTATGGCAGAAGATAGCAAAGGTTGGCAGAAGACAAGGAACAGCTTGAGCCTTCTACATCACAGAATACCATACTTTTATTTGATGGTGATGTTGGTTAGACAAAACGCAAGACAGTTCCTTTTTTTTCCAAGAATTCTTGTAAGAATCATGAAGTCTATTGCTATGTAGAGGCTGAAGACATACTACCACTGATGTTAGAGAAAGGGACAGACAATATGAGTCAGACAGTCATTTCAAATGAAAATTGCAAATGAAATTTCATTCATCTAAAAGAAAAAGTTCAGTGTTACACATAATAAACATTCTCCTGTTTTTAAGTTATATACTTGGACATTCTATCGACTCTAAAAGGTCAACTAAAAGTTTAAATGTTCTTAAAGAACTCTTGCAATGTGTTACTTTCTCTTAGTACTCATCAGTACATACTTCAAGCATCAAAAGTGGAGTAGACAGAAACAACAGTTCTACGAGACATAACTATTCATCTAGTTGAACTGTTTTTGAAGAGTAATTTCAGATATTTCTGCATTTTTTAAACAAAACATATTTATTGGTATATTGGGGAAACAAACCAACACACTGACAAGCTTCTATTCTTAATGTTTTCTATAACACTTCACAACCTAGATCAAAAAATTGTTTCAAGATTCTGATGGCTAGTATCACATGAGCGCAAGAACAATTCTGTTTTAAGAAATCTCTGATGTACAGAGACACTATCAAGTGAGAATGTGTAGTTCTGATAGGTCTGTAATCTATAAGCAAATTAATGTCATTATTTTGCCTTATTGGGTTTTTTCCCTTTTTTTTAACTTAAATTTCAAACTGGTTCATAGGACAACATTATTTAGTTCTAACATTTGGGAAGTGAAAAACAATCTACAGCTTCCATTGCTGGGGAAAAAAAAAGTTAGCTTTCATTAATGAACTTACTGTTACATTCAAATTTCTAATATATGTAATTCTAGTAACTATATTGCAGTAGCAACTATAATATTATTAAACATGAGAAATACTATTAATTTCAAAACAGTTCTATACATGATTCAGCTGAAGCCTCACTGGTAACCTATTTACAGAGTTGTCTTTGAATTCAATACATTTCACAAGAAGTAATGAGGAAATTCACACTAACTCAGAGCATAGCCTAGATAACATAAGAAAAACATAATCAGCATATGGGAACACTTTCGCTTTTTCAAACTATGCCTTAACACACACAATACTTTTATGTGTTTGTACTCATATATACACAGAGACAAGTTACCTGATCAAAGAGCTGCTTGCCTGTTGTATTGGGCTGGATGGCAAATTCCAACTCTGCATCCATTGTGGTTACTCTGACATTGACCTACAGAAAATAAGGAAACATTTAAATAATACTGTCACAGTGTAATGCTTCTATATCCTGTGATAAGCCTGTAAGAAACAGCATATGGTAAGTAAATTCAACAATTTTAACAGTCTTGTGAACACACAGAACACAGCAGTTAGAAAAACAGAAAATTTGAATCTGAAAAAATCTCATCTTTTATTTACTATAAAAGCATATTCAGGATAGTATTTACCACTAGGTTTGAAGGTCAAACGAGAGAACAAAGTTCAAAATTAATTTAATGGGACAGCTGACATTACTGAACACTTGAAGAATGTTGGGACCTTCAGCTACTGGGCATTACCGTTCAGAGGGCTTCCCAAATGTGTGCAACAGTTTCTAGTAATATACCTATCATTTTAAGGTATGTATTCTTGGCAACATAAAAAGACAAGCAGCTTCCTGCTTGCCATTTCTAAAATCAAGCAGTTCGGCAGTGTTAAAGTATATAGGACTAGAGCTTTCACACCTCATGACAGAGTAATAGCAAAGTTTTCACCTGTAGTCAAACCACAGAAGTTAACTCCTCTTAATATTGATCCCCTTCCTTTCCCTTAATACAAGACTGAAGAAACGCCACCATTCAATGAACTGCTTCCTTCTCCTGAATGGGAGGAACGTTTTCCAGATGACTCCTGACAAACACTGTTTTTATTTGCTATAAAACAAGAAGTCAAATATTGCAGAAGATATCTGGAAGCCTACCTTACTTGGAAGTACAACAGTCTGTTTCAATTTCTCTGTAACTGGCATACACAGAAGTGAGAATTTTCATGAAATAGAACGAAGTACTAAATACACAGTACTGTCTTATCAGTGTTAGAATGGTCCTCTGTGCCTACTGCCAGGGTATCACATTTTATTTATCTTTAGTGCATAGCAATATAAAGTGTCAGAGGTCAAATATACTTCACTATAAATGCAAAAAAAACAAACTTGAGAAACTTATTTAAGGCACACAGATATATTCTCATTTCTCACTACTGTAAAAAAGGGAACTGGAATAAATTAGGACTTGTATTACCGGTTCTTACAGTACTTGATCTATGCATATGTGAACCATTTCCATTAACTATTTCCCTAATTTTGCCACCAGGTGGAATACTTTGAGAAGCGAGTGTGGGGAAAAGAAGACAAAACAGAACATGAAAGGTGTGAAAAAGAAAACTGGATAACAGTTTGTATTCATGATTAAGCTTGTTAACTCCTTCCTTTTAGTGTCTCGGTAAACAACTTTGGGCATGAGGGGGACACACAAGACAAGAGTAGTAGGAGTCTGGGGACCTCTAGGTTATAGACCTGCAAACAAAGACGATAAAAGGGGCTCAGCAAACTTTTTTGTGTGTGCAAACACGGATAAGGAGTAAGAGTTTGAAGGCTTTGGAGTAACTGATAGTAAAGTTTTATTGCCAAAAAAAATTAGAGGGTGTATGTCAGGAAGAGGGAAAAAGATGGTTTTTGTAGATTGCCTCACTCTGCCCATTTCAAGAGCAGAAAAAAAAAAATCCTTACAGAACAGAATAACTCATTTTAAGTGGCAGGTCTAACTCCCTGCCAGTTGCACTATTTTCAGTGTGAGGGACTGCCCCTTAATTACAAGAACTTAATTTTTCTAAATCAGTTTTTCAATTTAAAAAATTAAGCCTGTTTCAGGGCAGCTACAAGTAAGCAAGTTACAAAGAATAAGGCCAAAAAGTAACTTTACTAAATGCCAAAGAGCCCTGTTATATAACAGCACCATTGCCAAAATAAGAAGCATCACAGGAGATCTACAAAGCACAGCAAGTTCAACTAATTGCAGCAGTAGGCAGCAGAAACTTCTTATATAAATATCCTTATAACAAGTGTCATCTTCTACAAATGCAGGAATTACTACCTGAGTTTATCCTTCACAAGAACTAAAATACTCAAACAATAAAATAATAGATCTAATACAGAGGCAAACTCTGTAGATTCTGTTCACTTCGGGATGTTACTGCCTCAAAAAATCTGAGTGCTCTAAGAGAACACAGTTTCTACACCTGCAATAGGTACAAATATACATTAGGACTACCTGGCCACTTACACACATTACAGTAACTGCTTAAGTCTTTAGCAGTTCTGTTTTTCTTTGAACTTCCAATTAACAGATCGCCTAATTAATATTTAATAATTTGGTAATTAACAATAATTAACAATTAATTTAATAATTAATATTCACACTTTCGGTTCTAACAAGAAAGACAAATTAAACGATGGCAACATTAAAATGTGATATGAATTATTTAAGAAGAGAGGAATTTAACACTACACTTGATTGTTTTCCTTCTGAAGGCATTTGGACCGACTTAGATTTCTGGCATACAAATACCACGGTTTTACAACCTTGTAACATTGTTTCACAGTCTCAGTTATTTCTGGGCATGGAAAATAAGAAGGTTACTTTTGTCAAAACCTGTGACTGAGCCCCAAGGGTTTACTTATCTAATTCAAACCTTGATTACACAGCACCCTCTCAACAAAAATCAAATCTCTGGTCAGCTGCATGTCTGTAAAATGAAGCTAATGAACTGCATTAACAGGAGTCATGGGAGGAGTTTCCACATTAGAAATAAGGCAGGGAATTGAGAAAACACAGGTAAGAAGACCTAGGAAGCAATGGATTGTCACTCATATAACCTGCTGTTGGTACCCAGCTACTTGGAAGCAATTCTCTTTATGTGACATTGGTGTCAGGGGGAAATTATGTGAACCACAAATTATGAAGACAGGCACTAATCTGAACCAACCTTACCACAAACACAGGAACCGGAAGGAGTTCTTGTAATGGTGACAAGGGATATGTGTAAAGGTTTCCTGTAGCAAGCATTGGGAGGCTACCACTACTCATACCACAAGATCCACTCAACTCCTGCTTTTTGAACTTGCTCTCACCAGGATCGCACATCTTTTTAACAGATTGTGACAGTTCTCTTCTTTACCCTACAGAATCACAGAATAGCTTGGGTTGGAAGGGACCTTTAAAGGCCATCTAGTTAGCAGCAACATCTTCAACTGCATCAGCTTGCTCAGAGCCCCATCCAACCTGATCTTTAATGTTTCCAGGGATGAGGCATCTGCCACCTCTCTGGGCAACTGTTCCAGTGTTTCACCTCCCCCATCATGAAAAATTTCTCCCTTATATATAGTCTGAATATACATCCTTTAAGTTTAAAACCACTACCACCCTTGTCCTATTGCAACAGGCCCTGCTAAAAAGTTTGTCCCCACCTTTCTTATAAGCCCCCTTTAAGTACTGAAAGGCCACAATAAGGTCTCCCTGCAGGCTTCTTTTCTCCAGGCTGAACAACCCTAACTCTCAGCCTTTCCTCATAGGAGAGATGCTCCATTACAACAACCATTTTTGTGATCCTCCTCTGGACCTACTTCAACAGCACCATGTCTTTCTTGTGCTGGGAATCCCAGAGCTGCACACAGCACTCCAGATGGGGTCTCACCAGAGCAGAGTAGAGGAGCAAAATCCCCTCCCTTGACCTTCTGGCCACGCCGCTTTTGATGCGGCCCAGGATACAACCGGCTTTCTGGGTTGCAACCGCACATTGCTGGGTCATGTCCAGTCTCTGATCCACCAGCACCCCCAAGTGCTTCTCACCAGGGTTGCCCTCAATCCCTTCGTCCTCCAGCCTGTATTCATACCAGGGGTTGCCCCAACCCAGGTACAGCACTTTGCACTTGGTCTTGTTGAACCTCCAAGTTCAACACTGGCCCACTTCTCAAGCTTGTTCAGGTCCTTGGCATCAGAACTACCAGTCTGAGTTTATCTGTATTTTACCAGACTTGCTTCAGAATGAATAAACACTGCTAAAGGAAAGGAAGAACATATACATAACTATGTACAGATGATTCTTTGGGAAGGGAACAACTGATGTTCTGACAACAAATATTCCTAATGGGTTATGAGGACATTTGCCATAGCTCATAAAATAGTGTTCATAAAAAACCCAATCTACAGCAAATTATCTACTAAGTAATTTATCAAAACCAATAAAGAGTATAGTCAATGAACATATCTGGAACAACAAACATCCATGTACACTTAATAAAAGCATGTATTTCATATGGGAATTATGGTTTTGTTGTATTCTTTCACTTTTAAGGACTTGAAAAAATATTATTACTCTTCCTTGTACTAACCCTCTACAATTTAATGGGATTTTATACCATCACCACACTAACCTTTAAACCTCTCCTCAAACACAGACCCAGTCCGTGGAACATGCACAAAAACTGACTATTAGCTCAATAATCTAATACTTTCTATTACTGTACTTCAGCCATAGATCGCAGATAGTAGTCATGGCACTTCAGCTTTTATCAGGAAGTCCAAAACTGAGTAGGTACCGATATTCAGTAAGAAAGCCACTTAAAATAACATAAAAAATGTTTCCAAGGTTTTTGCTTTGGTTTAATAAATGCAATATAAATTAGTCATATGTAAAAGCCACAGAAACCAGTCCAATTCATATTCATAAGAAAACCACATATAGCAAAAAAAATTTGTTCAAAGAGTTTCCTCTCACTAGTTCAGCCAATTACTATTTCCAGTTTGCATATTAAATTATTTGTGTTAAGGAGTAGCAGTATATTAGTCCCACTGCTTTACAACACTGCACAAATATACACAGCATGCTCTCCATACCAACCTCAAAGCAGACATAGGAGGAGATGAAAGAAAAAACTTTATGAAGATAAGGTAAGGATTAAACAACATTAGGAACAGAAGGCTACAGAATAATGACAAACAGATTTTACTAACAGACAAATCAAAAGCAAGCAGTCCTCCAAGCTGACATCAGTTGTCTATTTATGCTACAGAAATAAATCATATATTCAAAC